GGATATGGTGTCCCTTGTAAGCTCTGGAATCTTAGACTCTACTTCAGAGGCTTTTTGCATGTGCCCCTTAGAGTCCCCTGAAGTATGGAAACCTCAAAACCATGCCGATTCTCCATTTGTCCACCTTTGGGCTTTATTCCACAAAGTCACCCAGATTTGTGTTCTGAGGCTTCAGCTCCATCTCTAGGTGAGCTTCCCACCGAACCTTCCTGTCACTCTGCCCTACTCGTTCATGCATCTAAGCAGCCAGTGTTTCCACATTTACTGTGCACCAGGTACTGTGGCAGGTGTGGAGGATGTAGCCACTAAGGGGATTAACTCTCAGCACTTTCAATGTTTACGTTCCCATGTCCCAGAGAAAAAGCCTGGGGAGCAGGATGGCTCCATAAACAAGCCAGGCCCACCATGCCCTGCTTACTTACTGTCTTTGCTCCTCATTCAGCAGATATTTGCAAGAGTATATGGTTTTCCTTTGGTAGATGAACATATTACACCACTTTCACATCAGTAAAACTCCCTCTTCATCAACCTCCTTACCTCTTTCCTCCATCCACCTCCCACTTTACTCCAAAGATGACCATTCTAAGCTATCTCCTGTTTTCTTTTCCAGATCTTTCTCCCATGCATTTATAAACAAATAGGATTACATTGTGTTTGAAAATATTTATAATTGTACATAATAGTCATTTCATAATGCTTATTGATGGCTGTCTGGATGAGCCGGTTTGCACGTGTGTTTCTCCCCAGTTACCTTGCTCCCTTCCCTGATGTTGTACCCTTCCCAGGTAGCCTGGCTCAGCAGATAAGGAGAGTAACATCTGAATTCTTGTCTTTTCCCTGTGAACCACATTGGCTGAATACAGACACATAATCTTGCTGTCTGTGTGGTCAGCTTGGGGTGCCATAGGCTGGGTGGATTCAACAGCAGAACTTCTTGAAATTGTGAAGGTGGAAGTCCAAGGTCAATATGGCAGCACAGCTGGGTTTCTGTTGAGGGATCTCTTCCTGGCTTTCAGATAATCTCCTTCTCACTGTGTCCTCATGTAATGATGAGAATTTGATTGTTTGATTGATCTGGGGATCCTTCTCTTCTATGATATCAGTCCTATTGAATTAGAGCTTTACCCTTATGATCTTATTTTGCCTAGACCTTATCACCAGATAGAGTCAGATGAGTGGTTAGGGTTTCAGTGTGTGAATTTGGAGGGACACGTGTGTTATCCATGATGTCTTTCCTTACCTCAGAGCCACTGCACACTGAGCTGGGATGCTCCAGTGCCCTGGGTGAAGGCTCCGTCCCCAGTGGGTATACTCTGGGCTGTTTGTTGACACATGCATTTCTGAGAGAAGAACCACTTGCCCTGAGATTTGAGGGAAGCTGAGGGCCTCCGAGTGGCTTCCATCACCAGCATTCCATTTGAATTAGTGGAGACTTCAACCACCACTTTGTGAATGGTTCCAGATGTGTAGGCTTGGGGAGAACAAAATCGCTGGAAAGAACAAAATCTTAAAATTGAAAGTTCAATTACCCTTGGGGTGGGGGACAGTTACCATCACTTAAGGATCAAAGAAGGGGAGACGGTACCATCATAGGAGGCCTCCAGCTGGTTTACATGGTGGGGGTGGTGGCTCAACCTGCGACCTGATAGAACAAGTGGATTGCTGAAGCCAATTAATGAAGCTCATCCCTTGGCTCAAATCTTGGTTGGTTTTAACGGCTCAGAAGGACAAAGAACGAAGGAAATAGAGTCCACACAGAGTTACTTGGAAGAAACAACAGTTCACTGGGGGATTTGAGGGCTTTCATAGGAGGAACTGTCAAAGGCCCACACAGAGATTCTGTTGTGGGGACAGTGAGTCTCCAGAGATGCTGAGAGAGTTTCTGCATTGGTTCAAACGCCGGGATGAAAGACTGGGAAGCAGGGCTTTAGGGTAGAGGGTGCAGATGACGTTTGTGGAGGAAATATTGGGGGAAATGAGGTCCTGGCTTGATGTGGTGAGAATGCTCGTAAGCCGGTCATACACGACGACAGCATGTATTACCCAGCAAGGAGCGGCTGGCGCGATACCATGGAACTGTGTGGCAAAGGGCACTGAAGAGTTCGGTCTTCAAGGAGCAGAGGATTGAGTGAGAGGAGGCCGAAGGCTGAGGAGGTGAGGCTGGCTGCCTGCTCTCCTTGTGGGTTGACCTCGAGTCACCCTGAATGTGAACTTAGGAGCAGTTGTTAGTGTGAGAAGTTCATATCAAGAAGTGGCAGGAAGGACAATTATTGTGCACCGTTGGGCAGTGGGGGAACCATTCTGGTTACGATCCTTGTAATCAGACAAACTGCAGCACTTTCTACAGGCAATTTATAATCTTTCCAAACCTCAGTTTTCTCATCTGCAAAGGTGGATAAATATAGTACAGTCAACCATATCCATGGGTTCCACAATCACAGATTCAACCAACCATGAATGAAAAGTACTTCAAAAAAAATAGCATTTGGAGCTGGGGATGTGGTTCAGTGGTAGAGTGCTTGCCTAGCATGCCTAGGGCCTTGGGTTCAATCTCCAGCACTGTAAAAAAATTAGATAAATCAATAAGCATCTGTACTGAACACGCACAGACTTTTTTATGTCCTTATTCCTTAAACAATATAGTGTAACAATTTAACAGCACATTACATCAGATTAGGTATTACAAGTAATCTAGAGGTGACTTGAAATATACAAGAGGATGTATATAAATGTTATGCAAATACTGTGCTACTTTATATAAAGGACTTGAACATCTGAGGAGACCCACAGGTGTCCAGAACCAATTCTCCTTGATACTGAGCCATGACTAACTCCATCCACCATGTAGGGCTGTTGAAAGAACTAAGTGGAGAAACACCTGGAAAGGGCTGGCTTAGTCATGGTAAATGCTTAATAAATGTTAGCTCTCATTATCACGGCTCAGCAAAACAATTTGTGCCCTTATGATAAGGAAGGACACTTGGTTTATTTTCTCAAGTCTGAAAGAAGAGACACGTGGAGAAAGAAATGACTAGGACGCAGGGACAGGCCAATGGATTTGGGCCAGAGTCACTCAGGAGAGGGCATGAAGAGTCCTCAAAGCAGCGGCAGAAGTATTTTCAAGCTAGGAGGCTGGGTTGAGCAACATGGATATGGGGTGGCTGAAAGGGAGAAAAGAAAGAAAAGGAGAGAATTTTATATCCCTGTTACCCCGACTATCTCCCACCTGGGTAAAGCAGCCACTGTGTGCAGTGTGCCCCGTTAGATATGGGGTGGCATGGAAATGGATGGGCGCACCCATGCTCCCATGGAAGTCACTAGACACACTGTCAGGGTTGACTTTACATCACTAGGTGCAGCAGTGATGTAAAGAACTAAACGCTGCATGTGGGCAGGGTCACAAATCCAGCACAGGCCTAGTTCTGTCCCTTTGAAAGCCTCTGGAACTTTATCTCTGACAAATTTAAATGCTACTTCTCATACTGCCCTGTTCTAGGTGCTCCGTACATACCAATCCCAGAGCTTAGTTCCATTTCAGAAGCATGTAAATAGGGAGATCATTCGGGAAGCTTCAGTGATATCTCAGGTGAAAAGGGATGAGCTGAGGAGAAGGCAGTAGGATTGCTAAGAGGGGACATATGCACAGGCAATGACAAGATTGAGGAATACAGGGGAGGAACCCCTTGGTTCTAGCCTGGGTGACCAGGAGCCTTTTCTGAGGAGCTGGGGCATACTGAAGGAATTTGGACTAGGGGTTCTCACATTTTGGAGTGTTTCAAAGTCAACTGCAGAGATTGTGAATATTGCAGATACCTAGGCCCCAACCCCATTCCTGCTGAATCTATGCCTTCCAGGGCATAGGGCTAGGAATCTACCTTGCTAGCAGGTATCCCAGGGGCCTCTTCTGAAGGTGATCCATAAATCACACCATAAGCTGATCTAGAGAAAATAAACATTCTTAGCTTTGGTCCTACAGAAAGCAGAGCCTGGCAAGGGCTCAGGTGTTAATATATCTGGACAGTGAAACTCCAGGATGGGGTGAGCAAGGCATAGGAAGATGCAGGAGGATACTTGGGGTTTTCATGCTGGCCGCCATTGCAAAATACATCATGAAGGATGGGGCAGGTGTCAGTGTGTGTGGCTGCTCTCTGCAGGGGGAATCGTATCTCAGCATGATTGGAGGGAACTATTTGGGTTTCTAGCCCACCATGCCCTGATCTCGACTTCCCATTGGTAAAATTCACCCCTGGGAATTAATTCTCTCACCTTGCAGGGTTGGGCCACCTGTCCTCTCAGTGATGTGTCTTAAGAAGCCTAGATCTCAGTTGGGTGGAGTGGCGCATGCCTGTAATCCCAGCTGCTCTGGAGACTGGGGCAGGAGGATCACAAGTTCAAAGCCAGCCTCAGCAACTAAGAGAGGCCCTAAGCAACTCAGTGAGACTGTGGCTCAAAATAAAATATAAAAAAGGGCTAGGGTTGTGGGCTCAGTGGTAGAGAGCTTGCCTCGCATGTGTGAGGCATTGGGTGCGATCCCCTCAGCACCACATAAAAATAAAGGTATTTTTAAAAGTTATTAGATATATAAATAAATAAGCAAGTAAAAAGGGCTGAGGATGTGGCTTGGTGGTTAAGTGTCTTTGGGTTCAATTCCTGGTAGCTCCCCACCCACCCAAATAAAGAGAAGCAGCAGCCAGATCTCAGACCCCTGGAAGCAGAGGGTCAACCAGGGCAGATGGGATGCTGGCCAGAGAGCAAGGAAGAAGGCTGCATGGAGGGCATGTGGGAAGGTGCACAGGTTGGTTCCCCAATAAAGAAGGTTGGGTAATGTGGATGGGCAGTTCTACAATGAATTGCAGTTTTGAAGCTGGATATTAAGAAGGAAGATTTCTAGGGACATTGTCTAACTGGAATATTCATCATGGAACTAAGAAAGGAAGCTTAGGATTTTCACCCATAGAAAACATCTTTCAATTTTTCTTTATTTGTGTTTCTCTCCCTAGAACAACTTCTAGTAATAGAAGCCCCTGGTGATCAGATGATGCATGCGAGCAGTGGCAGCGTTTTGCAAAAGGAGACCGCGTAAATTTAAGGTATCATGTGTTTATTTTATATCCTGAATTAACTTTCCACCTCCCTAGTCCAAAGGTCTAATAAAAGGTTGCACTTGGGCTAGAGACTGAAGGAGTTTGTGTCTCATCCAAACTCCCACAGCTTTTTCTCTGAAAAACCTGTAAATTCCTATGACAATCTAAAAGGGACATAAAAATAATAATTGTAATTCTTGAGGGCTGCCAACTGCATACTGGGTTCCAGAGAGTAATAGCCTTGCTTCACGTTTACATGAAGATTTCCATCTGTGTTACCAGAACTTGGCTAACTTCATACACTGGCAAATGGCATTAATCTGTCATAGAAATAAGGGGAATTTAGTCACCACAAGTTAAAATAACTGATCCTGTCAGATAAGGAGTCTGCAAGAAATAGATGATTAGGGTTATTTTCTACTACCATCCTGACCCATTTAAAAATATTTCAGAGCTGGTCACAGGGGTGGTGCACGCCCGTAATCTCAGAGGCTGGGGAGGCTGAGGCAGGAGGATCACAAGTTCAAAGCTGGCTTCAGCAACTTAGTAAGGCCCTAAGTAATTTAGCAAGACCCTGTCTCTAAACAAAATATTTTGAAAGGGCTGGGGATGTGGCTCTGTGGTTAACAGCCTCTGAGTTCAAGCCCTGGTACCAAAATAATAATAAAAATAATAATAATTTTTTCAGGTAAACCCAGCATAGTGGTAGATGCCTGCAATCCCAGCTACTGGGGAAGTTGAGGCAGAAGGATCACTTGAGCCCAGAAGTGGGAGACAAGCTTGGGCAACATAGTGAGTCCTTGTTTCCTAAAAAATTAATAAAAATAAAAATAAAATCAGGTGGCTGGGAGATCTGACCCTAGGAAGAACTTTATTCCCCGATCATCGTAAAGATATTCGTAACTCAGTTGTGAGAAATTGACTTAGATGTTTTGCATGTCTGCTGGAGGCAGAATGTAAAAAACTGCAACTGCTTTTAATGCATCCGAGCTACTTGTGAAAATAGGGAAAGGCTGGGTGAGGAAGTGCAGGGAACTTGAGGCTTGAGATAAAAGTTAAAGCCTGGCGAGTGAGCAAGGCAGAGGGTAAGGGTCTCTCGGCGATGTGGGATCAAATTAAGTGAAGAAAAGATCTTGAGCAAGGCATGGTGGCACATGCCTGCAATTCCAGCTGCTTCTTGGGAGGTTGAGGCAGGAGGATTGCAAATTCAAGCCTCAATAACTTGATGAGACCCTGTCTCAGAATAAAATTTAAAAATGGGGTTGGGGATGTAGCTCAGTGGTAGAGTGCTTGCCTAGCATGTGGAAAGCCTTGGGTTCAATTCCCAGTGAAAGAAAGAAAGGTTTTGTTTTGTTTTTTAGCAGCTAAAAGGACAAATGGGGACTAGGAAGAAGTAAGATGTTAGTGTCAATCAAAGAAAGAAGTTAGGAGAGAGATTATTACAGAAGGTGAAGATCAGCCATGCAAAAATTGGTTGGCAGAGATATTTGCTGTACAGAAAATATTGGCTACATGTTTGAGAGGGATATTGGTTCTTGACTCCTGGATCTATAATGTCCAGTCAAAAAGACGTTATTGAACCACACACATACAGGGCATTGGGACATCAAGAGTTTGTCTCATTGCTGTGTGACATCCTTCCTCCATGGACCTCTTCATATACATACCTGTTTAGAAAAAGTCGACAAAGATGTTTGAACAGGAATCTTTGTCCCTGAGGTCTCTTCCAGCTCTAGAATTCTTTGCTTCTGGGTCAAGATCTCCAAGACTCCACAAAGCAAGTGTGTTCTTTGTAGGCTGGATCAAATGCCCATCTTTGAAACAAACACTTTGGCTAGATTGAGGTATAGCCTTACCTCAATGTTGTCCACTGGGGTCTGGGATGATGTAACCAGGAGATCTACTGAGGGATGGATTCTGGGTAGCTAAAAATTAACACTAGACTTTTATAGGCTTTGTGACACATAGGAAGAGACAGGAGGATCTGATCCAAACAAGAAAAGGCCAGAGGGTCAAGAAAGAACTCTAATCCAGAGATGGCCCAGATTGACATGTCCAGGGTGGCCTCTCTCTATCCGCTCAGAGTGCCCATTGTTCCGGCCGTGACTCAGGGATTTTGGAGCGCCCCCGGTGCACAGTTACTTCCAGGAGATTATGGGGGAAGTGCTCCCCTTCCTGTTTAGGATTAGGCTCCTAACCCCTCCTCCCACACAGGCCATATGTTCATTCTGAGTCTCAGCAACCAGCCAGAAAAAGCCCTTTGTGTTTTCTTGGCAAAATGAGGGCCCAGTAATTAAAGTCCATATGCAAAGCTGCTACCTCCAGAGCACACCGAGGTCTTTTAATTAGTATGTAATTGGTCAGAGAGGTACTATCAAACAGCTCCCAGTCTGGCCGGCTGCAAACTCAGTGTTTGAAAAGTCCCAGACCTGAGAGGGATAATAAATGCTTTAAGTCCCATCTGTTGGAATGATTTGTTTAAGGTATAAATTTCTGTTCTGTTACTATTTTTAAAAATTCTGCTTGTAGCATTTCTTCAAACACTGTAACAAGTATTCCTCGGAGGTAGGAGCTTAAGGAAGTGAACTAGAAGAAGGCTCTGGAAAAATCCATGTGTTTCCCTTCAAAGACAGTCATATAATGCGGTGGGGGCGGAGGGGGAAGGAGGTGAGCTGGACATTTGGTTTGCGTGGCTTGTCAGGAACTCTGGGGTTTGTCCTTCCATGAAAACAACATCCAGGGACATCTGCCCCTCTGCAGTCCGTGCTCTTTGCAGTGACCAGCACCTCTGGTGTCTCTCCTTCAGCCTTGCCGTGTGCGTGTGTGTGTGTGTGTGTGTGTGTGTGTGTGTGTGTGTGTGTGTGAGAGATAGAGAGAGAGAGAGAGAGAGAGAGAGAGAGAGAGACTGTCTTGACATGAGGAAGGACTTTGAATTCAGCTTGGTAATCAAAGGCCAGCAACTGTGGAGAAGCAAAGGGACCGAGAAGCCCAGAGGCAGGATGTCATTGCTCTCAAGGAGCCATGGCAGAGTTAGAGCTCAGCGCCTCCTGCCAGGCATCTCCAAGTGACTTGCTTTTGTTTGACCAACATCTTGCGGAAGAAAGAAGGTGGAAGAAGGAACGTGGCTGAGCCCATTCCAGGTTCTTTTTGTTACTCAGCCCTTTAGGAAAAGCTGGAATCAAAACTCAGAGCTTAGCCCCAGGTGTGGTGGTGCACGCCTATAATCCCAGCACCCCAGGAGGCTGAGGCAGGAGGATCACAAGTTCGAGACCAGCCACAGCAACTTAGAGAGACCCTATCTTAGCATTAAAAAATAAAAAGGCCGGGGATGTGGCTCATTAGCAGAGTACTTGCTTTAGCATGTGTGAGGCCGTGTGTTCAATCCCAGGACTGCAAAATACAAACAAACAAACAAAAAAAATTCCAAACTCAGAAGCAGAGCAGAAGTGGAATGTGGTAGTGGCCATGGCTTGGGGCTGGGCTGGGAAATGGAAAGACCTTGGCTAAAGGACTTTCAGTTAGGGTATGAATGAATTTTGAAGATCTGATGTACAGTGTGCAATTTGCTAAGAGGATAGAGTTTAAGAATTGTGTGCAATTTGCTAAGAGGGTAGAATTTAAGCATTCTTACCAAAATAACAGCAACAGCAAAAAACCAAAACACAAAAAGTAACCGTGTGAGGTGATGGGTGTGTTTAACTTGAGTGTGGTCATCTTTTCAATATGGTATGTGTGTGTGTGTGTGTGTGTGTGTGTGTGTGTGTGTGCATTTTTACATCAAACCATTACATTGTACTCTTTAAATACATATAACTGTATTCGTCAATTAGACTCAATAAAGTCGAAAAGAATAAACAAGAAAAAACTGAAGGTTTAGACACACAGGCTGCTGGAAGGCTCCGATGCCTACTGGGTCGGCCCCTTCTGGGTGTAGAAGTGAGGAGAGGGGTGGCCGTGCCTGGAGGTGGCTGTGACAGTATGTACCTGTGTGGGGAGGGCGGTGGGGAGTGGGCTCCTATAAGGTCTGCGTGGCCTTGGTGGGGGCTTCACACTCTCTCTTCATAAGCACTAAGGTTCACAGCACAGTTGCCTTGGGGACCTTCCCTTTCTCCTCTTGTCTCCCCAATCTGGAGGGGTAAGAGAAGACCTGCTCTTGCTCCGTCTGCGCCTCCTCCCGGAGGCTGAGAAGTCACTGGACTCAGGCCTGGACCTCCTTAGAGAGGCCTGACTGATGGCCCTTCTTCCTGTCCATTCCTTCATTTCCTTCCTTTCATTCCCTTGAGTGCACCAATTTCTGTCCTCTGGAAAGGGTCTGGGAGGGGCCTGCATTTATTTCGTTCTGTCCCCTTTTTCTTGCTTATTTGCATTGCACTGGTGGCCCTTTTTTGGGTATAGGTGATTGAACCCTGGGGGCAATTAACCACTGAGCCACATCCCAAAGACCACTCCCCCCCCATCTTTTTTTATTTTTTAATTTTGGGACAGGGTCTTGCTAAATTGCTGAGACTGGTCTTGAACTTCCTGCCTCAGCCGTCTGAGTTGCTGGGATCACAGACATTGACCTCTGTGCCTGGCTTTTTGTTTTTTTCAATTTTTATTTTTTTGCAGTACTGGAGATTGAACCCAGGGTACTCTAAAACTGACTATATCCCCAGTCCTTTTTTATTTTGGAACAGGGTCTTGCTAAGTTGTCCAGGCTGGCCTCAAACTTGTGATCCTCCTGCCTCAGCCTCCCAAGTAGGGCACCACAGCTCTCTACCTGTGCTTGGCTCTTGATGGAGGCTCCAACTGGGGCCTGAGAGTGGGCCTTCAAGGAAGGACTTTTGGGCCCTCCTGCTTCCCTAGCCCAGTAGTGGTGCTGGAGCTCGCGGCCAAACCCAGTCAAAAAGTGTGGTTTTGCCTGCTTTGTTCTCTGTGTGTCCCCTTCTCCTAGGGAGCTTATGGGGAGGGGTTGCCAAACTGTGGCCTGAGTTTTCTGTGTCTTGGCCAATCCTTCTCTGTGCTGG